TGATACAAGATGATAAATGATTTCGGTGCGCTACTGTACTACTGTATACTCAACCGGATGTACGCTGGCATGTTTCGGTGTGTAGGCTTGGGTAGGATTGCTACCTGCCAAACAAACAAATCGTGCTTGCGAGATAGATCCTTCCGAAGGTTCTACGCACGTTGCGCAGACGGGACTACCAGACCCGCCTAATCGGAATCCCGCGGGATGATATCGAAATTTGGAATTCATCAAAGACGGCAAGATGGTGCAAATGATAGACGATTGGTTCATTGGACGTGGTTTGTACCACAAGAAGATGCCTAGTCCAATGTACAATGTTGTGTACAACGACGTGTCTATTGTGACGTTTTTTATGAACTAAACACTTGTAATATTATACCTTTCTTGCCTGGCTGGGCGGCTGGCTGGCCGTCCCCTTCCTGGGAAAAGATATGCGGGTCCCGAAAAAGCTTGACCCCAATTTCTCCACAATCAGAATGGATCCATTTTTTATTGTGTTCTCGTACCGGGACTACCGTAGATGTAGAAACGTCAGATTATATATTGCGTTTCATTTGTAATATATATCTTCACACATAATCCTTATTCCATGAGAAAGGCATTGCTTCTTTCATTGCGAGCGTCTGCATCGTTCCAGACTACTGCCTTCTCATCCAATTTACCACACTACAGGAGTATACATGGTGTGAATCATCGTAAGACACCACCAGCAGGCACAACCACGACAATAAGAAGGTTCATGACATCAGCAACATCGTCATCGTCCACAACATCATCATCGTCAACAACAACAACAACAACAATTCCTGCCATCATTCCTCGAGCTGCCGTGGCAGTGACGGTCCAAACAGTCTTTCAAGGAACGTATTATTATCTATTGATTCAACGCAAGAATCCACCCGACGCTGGGAAATGGTCCCTTCCGGGTGGTAACATTGAATTGGGGGAACCGACGTTGCAAGCGGCCCAACGAGAATTGCAAGAAGAAACCAATGTAGCATCATCCAACGACTGCTGCCAATGGTATCCATATCCCTTCATGACGACCGATGCGATTGTTC